AGATAAGGACGAGCCCGTCTCGGATCCCTCCGCTAAATCCACTTGCGATCCCCACGATAACAGCTGCCGCAACAGCGGGGCCGGACCCAGCAGTATTGTGAACCTGGCCGAAAACAGCCAGGCGGGAGCAGAGCACACGGAGCGGGAGAAGCTCACAATCATGACAGTCAGCCCCCTCGAGAGCTGACCGTGCATGCTCCACTCCCAAACAGATGACGCACAAATCGTGTGTATCCCCACCCGAGATATAGCATGGGCAGGGAGGAACACACGACTTGAAATGCCGTCCGCTCGCCACTGATTTAGCTTTTGAGTTTGGCATTATTACTTTCTTTCTTTTTGCTTTCTAAACTGAGTGCTTGTAACACACACACACACACACACACACACATAGACAGACAGATGCACTCGCTGAAGAGCAGAAGCTAACATGTGCGTTTGCCGGATGTGCTTTTATATTTCCTGGTTGCTCATGTCACCCCGCTCGTGACGTCTCGCTTCTCTATTGGACCGATTTCATACATGCTTCAGTACGTTGTCTCGGTGGGGCGTTCCCAAAGCATTTTGACGCAGCTGGAGTTCCTGAAGGGGAACTCATTTTGAGAAAAATGCCTTTAAAGATATGTATTTTAACAGAAATCTACAGACATAAATAGATAACGTGTATTAAAATAAACATCTAAACGTGTGTTTTGGTTGTTTCTTTCTTCTAGTCTGAAACATCATGTTATGAAAAGCCATATTTGGGCAAACAGCCGAAAATATCAAAATTGACCAGTGCATGAAAAAAAATGTTTGCCTGTAATGTTTTGCCTTCATCAACCAATGAATATGCAGAAGGTATTGGACTTATTTTAAGATACTTTAAGATACTTCCTATCCTTTTGAATCTTGACAGGCCTAGTTACAATGCCTTTGTTGTTATTATATTTTAGAAATGTCAAAAGTGTGACTCTTTCTACCTTTACAGCCATTAAAAATATTTATTCAAAAAATATGCATTGTATAATATGGTTGCCACATCGATCTATTGGCAAAACAAAAAACTGTCCACAGCAAGTCACAATTAGCTCAACCCATCATCCAGCACAACACTTGCTTTTGCCACTAGAGGACACACTAGAATCAGTTTTTGTTTTCCCCCTAATCAAACAGCAGTACTTCTTTTATTCTCAGTGTCCTTTTTAATAGTTTCTGTAGAAGTTTCTGTATATTTGACTTTACATACTATACTGTTGTCTAAGCTTTGGCATTGTGGGTCACACTGTGGGTCACAAGTGATTTGTGAACTTCCTTCATTAGTGACATATATGCATATTTACATGTTGATGTTAATAAATATACACAATGTATGATGTTTATATCTTTTTACACAGAGATGTGAAATGAAAATACTATCACCATTTACTCACCTTCATGTCATTTGTACATTGTATGAATGCCTTTTTTCCATTGAACACCATTCACTTTTATTTTATTTAATAACTTTTTTTTTCCATTTGTTGAAAATTAATTGCCAGGCTAATGTGACTTTTTGTGAAGTCAAATGGCTTTGGCACAATATGTGTATGAGTAAATTATTTTTATTTTTGTGTGAACGATCCTTATGTACACAAGATCACATCAGCACACATGAAAAGCCTTGTTGCACTTCAAACAAACATTTCAATCATTTCCAAGAAAACAAAATGAAGTAAATTTATTACTTTAGTTCAGTTCATTACTGGCCATTCATTACAATACAATACAAATACAATACAACTTCATTACAATGCAAATTCTAAATTCTGTGACCTCAAATATTTTGAGTGATTTATTTTTATTACATATGAGAAGGCTGTGAGATTATTTTCTACAACATCTGCACACACAGGTCAGTCAGTTCTGTTAACAGATGACGCACAAATCGTGTGTATCCCCACCCGAGATATAGCACACACAGGTCAGTCAGTTCTGTTAAATTAAATATTTGTTGAATGCTCTCAACTGATTGTACAACCAATTGGATATTCATAGTCAACACACAAGTACAGATTCCTTAATACAGTTCAACAAAATCAATCTTATTTTTTTAATAACCCTTTGCATTTAACCTTTTGCTCTGTAGTAGCCTATTGTGTTCACCTTGTTGCGTTTGTACAGTTCTTTTATGGACTGCATGACCTCCTCTGTCTTTAGAGTGTATATGATGGGATTCAGCATAGGAGGTATTGTTTGTGTCAGAGAATTGTTAATTATTCTCGCGTTTGGATGGATAAAAGTTGCTAAAGCTGCAATATTAATACCTAAAAGTGGCACATACAAAATTACCACCAACATGAAATGTGAGGTGCAGGTTTTCATGGCTTTGATCCGGTCAGCACCCTGAGCAATCTTAAGCAAAACTGAAGCGATGCAGAAATATGAAACGATTATCAATATCAGTGGCATACATACAAGGAGACCAAAGCAAATATTTGCCATGATAATATTACTGGTATTATCATTACAAGCTAGTCTATAAATAGGGCCATGATCACAAAAATAACTATTGACTACATTAGATCTACAAATAGAGAGTCTTGTGATCAAACTCACCATTGAAGCAATAAAAGTGACAGAAAAAATCCACATCACCCCTATGATCAGAAACATGGCTGGTTTGGTTACAATGGTATGATACTGTAGAGGAAAACAAATAGCAACCAGTCTGTCATAAGCCAAAACAAGTAGTGTCAAAGACTGCAGATTCATGAAATGAAATACAAAAAACATATTTGCCAAACATGCTTCATATGAAATGTCCTGGTGCTCGAATAAAAATATGTCTATGAGTTTTGGAATCAAAGCTGAGCTTCCACACAGATCAGAAAGCGCCAGATGGAAAACAGCAATGTATTTGGCTGTGTGAAGTCTGCGGGCCAAATAAATGATACACATGATAAATGAATTCCCTAAAACAGTCACAACATACACTAAAGACAAGAACACATAGTAGTATTTTGCATGTGGGATATTAAAAAAGCCACTGATGAAAAATGTTACAGGACGAACAAAGGTCACATTTGCGGAGGAGTCTGACTGCATGGAGCTCATGATACCTGTTGTCTGGCTTTTTGTTTCACCTGTGATGAACAGTTATAGAAATACATTAAATAACAGAGAATATTCATATTAAAATGATTTAATTTCCAGTCACAGTGCTTTAATTAACAAAAATGTTTGGATGTTCTTTAATATAGTCATATTGCACTAATAATAAGAGTAATTTGCAGTAAAATCAGTAGCAAGAAACAGAGGAAACACATGGTTTATATTCTACCTTCTCCAAAGCTGCCACCACCTCATTAATTTACCAGCCATCAGACAAATTTATAGTAAATCATTCTCTTGCGCTTTGGACTTAAGTCCACAGATCATCTCTTCTCCCTGCAGAGTTGAGGAAAAATGGGCAGGAGTAAATTTAGCACGTGACATCATAAATTTATTGTTAAACAGGAATACTGTACAAACTTATGATAACAGTAGTGACTAATGATAATTACATTAAAGAAGTATAAAGAGAGATAACTTCTGAAATTACTATACCCCAAAATTCTAGGCTTATGAAGTTGACCTATGTGCATTCTTCCATTTATGATCAAAAGTGATGCTGTACACAAAGCATCACATTTTTAAAGTTTTGATAGAGTAACAATACGACACTAACATAATACTTTAGTTCTCTAAGGTCACATTCTTTTGTAGCTGAAACATGACAGCCACAAACAAATTAAGCGAGAGCCAGTTTTGTATTTCATTTGGAAACCAAGGTCCTAGAGTCTGGAGGAAGGGTGGAGAAGCTCATAGCCCAAGTTGCTTGAAGTCCAGTGTTAAGTTTCCACAGTCTGTGATGATTTGGGGTGCAATGTCATCTGCTGGTGTTGGTCCATTGTGTTTTTTGA